ACCACTAGTCCTGTCGACACCGACGGAGAAGGCGGTGACAATGGCGGTGGCGCCGGACGGCGCGGCGGCAGGGTGATGGCGAAGGCGCCGACACTGTACCTGACGTAGCAGCTGTACCCCTTGATCGCGCCGCCGGTGTTGTTCGGGAAATTCCCCGGCAGCAGACCGATATATGTGGTGAGACACCAGCTGCATTCGCTGGCCGTCAGGTCCCGCGTGCACTGCGCGAGCCCGTACACCGAGTCCGACGAGCCGGCGAGCGGCGCGCTCTCGTTCGCGAGGAACAGCGGCGGCGAGCCGGCGGCCGTCCTGGCGAGCTGGTTCATCAGGCTCGAGCGCGCGTCCTCGAGCCTTGCCTGGTCGACGGTGCTGAACCAGGTGACGTAGAACGCCGCGTTGCGGCTGGCCACGGACAAGAAGTCGGTACCCGAGAACCGGAGCACGCACGCGTCGTACGCCGCACTCACGTTCCGGCTGCCCGGGCACACCGTCGTGATCCCCGCTGGCGCCCTGGAGAGACAGTCCAGGCATTGCGTCGCGTTGCGGTCGGCGTAGCACATGATGAGGCCAAACACCTCGTCAGCCCCCGTCCCGGCGGTGCCATTGTAGAACCACCCGTTGTAGCCGGCCGCCGTGGGCATCCTGGAGAGGAGCTGGTCCAGGTTCTTCTTGTATTGGCTGCCGTCGGTGTAGTTGTCTGTCGTCGAGCAGGATGGCCAGGCCGGCAGCATGATCTCGTTGTTCTGCGCTGCGGCTGCGACGAAGAGGAGAGCCAAGGTGGCGAGGAGAAGGCGGGAAGCCATAGCTAGCCGGCAGCTCTCAGCTGCCATGGGAGGCTGGGACGCCGTTGCTTGCTGGGCTTGGCCACCCTGTGTCCTCCTCTACGTTGCGTTGCTCTCCTTTCCTCCTGTGCCCGTGCCGACCCGAGCGTCCGCCGTCGTCGTCTCTCTCCGCCTCCATCCCTCTCCACCTCGGCCATCTCCCACGCTCTTCCTCCCGCTGTGACTCCGTCGCCGGACCTCTCTTGGTCAGACCCCTCGTGGCCATGCCGCCCATTGCTCCCCACCGGAGGCCCTCTCCGCGGGGCATGCTGGGTGTGGGTGAACCCCCAAGGTTCCACACTTCGTAGGACAGGTAATCCGCTCTTGATTTCTTGTTGCAATGTTGATTTCAACCTCGATTTCATGATAGATAGGGTATGTATAGTTAGATTAGTATAGTTAGGGTTGACACTACCACACCCAACAATTAGCGTCGGACAACGGTCGCTAAAACATAATATTAACCTCTAACTATTGGTCGTTATAAATTTCTAATAGTTCATCGGTCGTTATTTTCTCTTGTACCGACTGATCAGTAGTCGTTATATATATTTGGTTGTTTGGTCGAACCATCGGCACAGTCCGTTTTCATTTTTGGCGCATCCAGCCCAAGCCCACTCACGTGCAATGTAATTGAGTGGCCCACCGGTCATACACTAACACCCAAAAGGCCAAAACCCTGTCTCAAGGCTCCAGCACCCATCGTCCCATCCACCCAGCTGCCGCCACACACGGACTCAGCACCAGCGGCGCTCGTTGGGACCTCGGAGGCGGCTCTTCTCCATCACCGCCACGACCTCGCCGGGGCCGTCATCCTCGCTGCTGCAGCCGCCGTCCCTACTACTCGGTCGTCTGGGCCGCATCCCCGCTGTGCGCTCATCGGGGTCGCAAGGCGGCGGCGCGGCGCGAAGCCCTGGTCGATGGAAGCGCGGCGTGCGACCCAGGTACCCCAGGCAGTGTGCGGTGGTGCGGCCAGGCCAAGGGCATGGCGGCTATCCGGTACCGCGCGGCCCCAGTGCTCCAGGCGGCAGCGAGATCTGACGAGGTGGCTCGGGCGGATCCGACGAGGTGGCTCGGTGCAGAACGGATCCAGGTAAGTATTGTCGTCCTATAGATCTGGAATCTGATGCATTTTGGTCCTTTTTAGCTCGTAGTGTTTATCGCAGTCCAACATACTTTTCAATTTTCTAAGGCTGTGAGATCCCATTATCAGAGCTGAACCAAACAGCTTCGTTCACAAGAGCGATTCAATATATCAATTATTTTCCTTTGTGCAGTTTACAATGGTGTGGGAGAACCTGAAGGGGTAGTATCCAGCGTTCCAGGTTCCAACGCCTCAGGGACTGTTATTGCATCGTTGCCTGATCGAAGTGAAATTGCCATGCCGCATGAGGCTGGAGGTGAGAGCCATTAAATTTTACTAGGGTGCACTTGCAGTCAAGTGATGATAACATTTTAAAAATACACGAGATTTTAGATTGTATCTTGTTTAGACATGGATTGAACGTCAAATGCAGCCTGCAGCCAATTTGTTGTTAAGCCACACCACAAGTTTGTTTCTAATTTGTTGTGGGATGAAGCTAATCTGCACACTGGATAGTACTAGCCCTTCTTTGTTGCTAATTTGTTTTAGGTGTGGTTCCATTTTCGAATTGAACTAGGTTGCTGAAAACTGAGCGCTGAATTCTTTATCTCTGTTCTAATTATTAAGCTGGCAGCAGGATCAAAAAGTTTAGTTTATATTTGATGGTCATGTGCCTAGTGCAGCTGAACGGATAAAATTGCTGGTGGTCTGAAATTAACACCCCTTTAGTCCTGTGTTTTGACTAAGGCAATGGTCTTGATCAGTCCTTAGGACTGATAGCTATGGCCAATGGATATGACTGCTATTTTTTTTTTGCTCTATAAGCATGGAGTATTAGCTTTGTGATTGAGTTTGCCATGTGATTCAGCTTATCAGGCCTCTTGTCTCTGGCAACGCACCAAGAGATTGGAGGCAGTGGTGGCTCTGAGGCTCTCCATGGCCAGCTGATGCCGCTGTTGGTCTAGGGGAAGTGGATGGATATTTTGGCCATGAAGCTTCTGTGAGTTATGTTTCTTTGCTCATTTACCTACTACTGAGAGGCATGGTAATGTTGAAACTAATATGTATATCAGTATATGCTTTATTATCCCTACTGGTAAAGAATGCATGATTAACAATTGAATTTAATTTACTTTCGAAGCATTGTTATTGATGAATTGTATGACCCTTTTGCATTCCTCGTTACCTTTATTAGACTAGCTTCCATGGTTCCTTTCTTTGAACCACTGAGAACTGAGATTAAATTGTGGATTACTCATTCTTCTTTCTTCTGTCCTGATCCCTAAACATTATACTAAAAAAACCCATAGGTGCAAAATAATCGTTGCTGTATGAAACTTGGGGCTGTACACTTGCACTGACAATGAGTCGTGGTAATGTTGTTTGGGCCCTTGTTGGAACCAGTATGGTCCCTCATGTGTAGTTAGTATTCCATGCTTTCATTCTTTGTTTATTCTATATAAGCATTATTCTGCATGCTGCATGCGGATAAGCATGGTTTAATCTCTCTAGAGTTATTCGAGTTTCTTCATGGTTCCTGTCTATATCAACCATTCTATTTTTGCACAGTATATTTTGGCAATTAGTTTCTCAGAAGTTGAAGGACTTGTCAAATCCTAATTTGCTGAAGCAGAAATATAGCATGATGGAAGTTGTACGTAAAGGGTAGTCGTGTTCTTTCTGAGAATCTTTGAGAAAGGAGATGACCCTGGAATTAAACATGATCAACCCCAAACTTATTTCTGAACTATTATTCATAAGCTAACCTTATTTTCCCCAGTTTTACTGAGTATAACTCCAAACAAGTATTTGAAAGAGACAATTTTTATTTATACACGTCACATAGATAACTGATGTGGTTTCGATATTACTGTTTTCTTTTGGTGCTGGACTAGTCGACATGGAACTTACTTAGCAATTACGACCTGTAGGGTTTTGTTATGCCTATTTTACTGATTATTATGACTTTCTGAATTGGTGCACTGCATGTTCTTATATATCATAGTTTACTGTGTCATTGATAAAATTATGTAGATTGGAGTTAGTTTCAAAACAGATACTGGCTCCAAATTTTACATGCTCTGATTCTAGCTAGACTGAAGACGCCTAATGAGCTCCTTTTTTACATATATACAGATACTAGCAAAAATAGGATTTAGATAGTCGGTGGCTCTAATAAGAACTTAGGTGGTGGCTCTAATAAGAAATTAGATGTTGTTTGGTTCCACACAGGGACAAAGGTAACACTCCTTAGAGCTCTTCTGATCCGTGAATGCAACTGTGCTTATCTGAATGCAACTTGGTTTTGGCGCCTATCGATTCTTACTAGTATATGCAGCTTCTTGTTCAGACTCAAATTTTCTGGAAGGGCAAAAAGCATAGCAGTCACAGTCTAAACTGTTCAGACCTGCTATGTTGTATGGTGCAAAATGTTGGCCTACGAAAAGACGACATGTTCAACAGATAAGTGTCGCGGAAATGCGTATGTTGCGTTGGATATACGTGATAGATTAGGGGTAGCACCAATTGAAGAAAAGTTTGTCCAACACCGGTTGAGATGGTTTGGACATGTCCAACGGAGACCTCCAGAGGCACCGGTGCGTAGTGAAGTCCTAAGCAGGATAGTAACGTGAAGAGAGGCAGAGGAAGACCGAAGTTGACTTGGGTAGAGGCAATAAAAGGAGACTTGAAAGGATGGAATATACCCAAAGACTTAGCCTTAGATAGGAGTGCTTGGAAGACAGCTATTCACGTGCCTGAACCTTGATTGCTTCTGCTGGGTTTCAACTCTAGCCTACCCCAACTTGTTTGGGACTTAAAGACTTTGTTGTTGTTGTTGTTTACCTATATACAGGTCCCATAATTAACTTCATGTGTGCACTGTGTTCAGGTGGGAGTGGGAGGGAGGCTTTGGAGGTCTGCATGATGTTGGATAGTCAACATGAAGCTAACATATACATTTTGCTTTTGATAACATGAAAATGAGGCATTTTGTAGTGAATCTAGTTAGATTGTGCAAGCTAACATATGACTTGTGCCTGCCTTGACCTAGCTTGGTTGTGTGTGTTCTTTTCCTTTTGTAATGATGACCTGTCATGGATCAGATGATAGAACTTGATGTATTGCTAAATGTTGGCTTCAATGAAAACTTGAGATACCTTTATCTAATAATGTGGTTTATGAGTGTTGTGGGCAGCTATGGTTTACTTATGTATGTGGTTGATGAATAATGTGACATGTTATGGATGTTTATTAGGTTTGACATCTGGTTAATACGAAATTAATATTATATAAATATATAATTGTGCCAGTTCATAGTGACCGATTATTGGTTGCTAAAAAGTTTGATATCCTCAAACCATCGGTCGCTAAAACATGTAACATATCATCGGTCGGTATAAATATTTGCGTCCAATTATCGGTCGCTATAGACTTATAGCGACGCCACTTACAGCGACTTATACATCGTTCACTATAACATTACAGCGACGAATCATTGGTCGCTATAACGACTTATAGCGACCGGTTTAGAGTCGTTACAGATTGATTGTGGTATAGTGTGAATGGTAGTTAGATTAGTAATGTTAGATTAGTATAGTTAGATTAGTATAGTTAGTTAATTAGATTAGTATTTGTAGTATTTATTAGTATACTCACTATACCACAACCAACAATTAGCGTCAGACAACGGTCGCTAAAACATAGTATTAACAACCAACAATTGGTCGCTACAAATTTCTAACGGAGTATCGGTCGCTATATTTCCTAATACCGACCGATAATCGGTGGGTGTATATTTCCTCGGACAATCGGTCGCTAAAAATGCATATTAAGGTCCAACGATTGGTCCCTATAGCTTGGTTTTATTTTGGCGCGTTCAGCCCAGCCCAATCACGTGCAGTGAAATTTGCATGGCCCACCCGTTGTAGTGTCACCCGAAATCCTAACTCCACCACCAAACCACCCCCATCAGCCACCATCTCATCTCACGACTCTCAAACCTCACGGACTCAGCACCCAGCGCCGCTCGTCACGTACGGACTCACCACCGCCGCGAGCTCGCGTGGGGGGCGCCATCCCTGCCCCCGCCGCCGTCCTCGCCGCTGCGGCCGCCAACCCCAGCGCGCTCGTCGGAGCCCGAGCCGCCGCAGCCATCGTCCCCACCCCGTCGTCACAACTGTCGTCCCCGCTCCCGCCGGCCATGAGCTCGAGCAGAGCAGGTACATACTCGTTCTCTTCCCTTCCATCCCCATCCGCTGCTCCCTTGCCTTCTATCCCCGAGTATGTGCGACTGCCCTGCCCTCTATCTCCAGTCTCAACTCAAATCAAATCCCCAATTGGCCAATCCGATCCATCCTGCTGGTTGCTGCAGTGGTGACTGGTGAATCCGTAAATCGAATTTCTAGTTCTCCAGTTTTGAGCTTTGCTTGATTGCTTCCCAATTTCCGATTACTAAATGCTAAATCGAGTAGATCTAGGCGTCCAGCATCAGTAGGATGGTATAGCTGAAGAAATTAAGATGTTGTGATTGTTATCCCAATTTTTCCTAGTTCGTATCTTTTTTTAATCTTACATATAAAAAAACCTTGGTGTATTTTTAGGTGAAATGGTTAAATAGGATTACGGTGCAGTCTGTCAGCCGAAGAGGATATCACCTTAGCTACGACCAATGCTTCTGTTGCATTTTACCCACTTTAAATTCTTCCCAAACTAGATTTAGATGGATAACCATTTTGATATAAGTTTGCTCCCTCTCTACATAAACATGTGACTATACATTGGTTTACTTCACTATGAAGAATATTGCACTTCACACCACGGCATACATAGGTTGCTACCTGGCAGTTTATAGACTGATCTGAAACCAAACTCTCATGAATGCTGGTTTCATGACAAAAAAATTTGTCACTTGGCACATTGTTACACTCCTACTTTGTGTTCGCAGTGCTTGTGAGTAGTCTTTAACAATATATCGAATGTCAATCACCTTCTTGGATTTTGCATTCTTGCTGTATCGGTTATCTAATCTGGTTGCAGTTACCATACACAGGATGAAGAACTTGCACAACATCAAGTGTCTATGTTACTGTTTCTTGCTCTTGCTTGTGGCATAGCGGTGTTTGGTACTCAAGTATTGATGCGTAAGACTCTACAGAAAAATATTCTATGAACCTACAACTATCATGTTTTTTCGTACTTCCTTGGAAGTGCTGATCATTTCTGTATTTTCTAATGAAAAAAACCTGATGATTTTTTTTCACTATATTATCTCATTTTCTGCTTTGCTGCCTTGTCCTAGACTCAACCAGCTAAGCATGCAAATAGGGATTACGTACTGCTTTTATCTTTAGTGCTGATCGTGAGCATTTTGTTAGAATCTAGAAAATATAAAACATTTGAATTTTTCCTGCAGTTTATTCTTTGACATATTTTCTTTTGCTCCTCGTGATACATTTAATGAACTTTATATGTGGGTACCTTCGGTATCCTGTGCTTCATTAACTATGTAACTTCTTTCCTTTTTCCCCTCTGCAGCTTTTACTGGATCTGGGAATAATGAACTTATTTCTTTGGCCAATACATATGCACAGGTTTGTATAGTTCAACATCTCTCTCTGCAATATTATCGTGTAGGATATTAGTATAGAGTTAGCCTTTCCTTTTTGTGTCCAGTAACGTATATCAGTATGTATACTTGCTTTCAGATAAGAGGATTCACATGGCCTATAGTTCTCGTTGTATTAGTTACTCAAATTGCTAGATTCTTGTGCCCATTCTCTTTCTCTTACTTAAGGTGGTTGTGTACACACAGTTGTCTATCAATTTTAATGTGACATTTTCACTGTTAGGGGCGAAATATGTGGTACCTTCAGTCTTTTTTAGTGCGGTATGGAAACTTCCAAGCTGAGGTTTGTAACACTAAATCAAAATTTTAGCATGGTTTCTTTTGTATATTTGATGATTTTACGGGTCGCCAATCTTTATTTTTACCCATATTTTAGGAAGATATTTCAAGTGCGGTATGAGGTTGTGAGGAGAAGTAATAGGAGGGGAATGGGAAAATGATGAGATTATACTAAGCATCCAAGTACACAAGGAGAAAGACTCTGATGATGATATGAGGGTAAGGCAAGCTGCACTGTCAAGTGCCGACATACATCGATCATAAGCTCTGCAAGTGGTTTGATGTGGGAGATGGAGATGTACTTACTACCTAAGGAGTTTGTAACGTAGCCTCGTTTAGTAATGGAATTTTCCACTTTGAAAAAGCTAGAATTCTAATGCCAGCTATAATTCCTCCTTCATGAATGAGATTTTTTTATATCCATGTGCGTGTCGGACGTGCATGTTCACTAGTATATGACAAATGGTCAAACTTATAATTAGTGATATTTGTGACAATTGAAGGTTAAGCGGCAGGCATCAAAATCGGTTAGGAAGGCATCAAAATTGCGTCAAGGTGTTTCAGGTATGTTATTCTGAGGTCACTTATGTATCTCCTATTATGACAGTTGAAGGTTAGCAAGTTTCATGATGCTGATTAGTGCCTCTACTTTGTGTTTTTATACTCTGGACTTGCAGCAGGGGGCGAGAAGAGCTAGAACTCAGATGGGCAATCTATCTGATTTCTACCTTTTTCTGTTGAGGATGCATAAATGTTTTCTTATTTGTAATATGTGTGTGATTTTGGTCAGCATGTTCTGATTTTATCTTTTTCAAGCTTGCATGCAAACTGTTGATGACTTCTTGGAATGAAAATAAAAACCTCCGATGCCTATAATTTTGGGAATGAACCATTTAGTGAAAATTTTCATGCTAGTCTTTAAAGTGCAATTTACTACATGACTGTTAGGAAAGACTTAGACTTCATCAATAGTTTGCTGAAACTGAATGTACCCAACTAGCTTCCAGAAATCTACTTTTGAACCTTGGAGATGATATTTTTCTATTTCTATTTGAGGTTACCTATTGACTATTTTCTAGTCTCAATTAGATTATGGGTATCACAATTGTTTGGTTCCTATGTAGGTCCCATAATTAACTTCATGTGTGTACTGTGTTGTGTTCAGGTGGAGGGAGGCCTTGGAGGTGCACATGATGCTGGAATCTCGATAATGTCACTAGGAAGTCAACATATGATATTTTGCTTTTGATAAGATGGAGATGAGGTATTTTGCTTTGAATATAGTTAGATTGTGCAGTCAAACATATGACTTGTGCCTGCCATTTAACCTAGCTAGGTTGTATGTGTTCTTTTCCTTTTGTAATGATGACTTGCTGTCATGGATCAGAATCTCAGATGATAGAACTTGATGTATTGCTAAATGTTGGCTTCAATGAAACTTGAGATCTTTATCTGATGATGTGGTTGATGAAGTGATGTGACATGCTATGGATGTTGATTTGATATGAAATCTGGTTAATACAAAATTTATTATATATAATTGTGCCAGCTCATAGCGACAGATTAGTGGTCGCTAAAAAGTTTAATATCCTCGAACCATTGGTCGCTATAACATGTGACAGATCATTGGTTGTTATAAATACTAGCATCCAACTATTGGTCGCTGTAAACCCTATCGGTCGCTATAGATTTATAGCGACGCCACTTACAACGACTTATACATCGGTCGCTATAATAACGACTTATAGCGACCAATTTGGAGTCGCTATAGATTGGCTATGGTATAGTGACTTATTTGGTATAATTAGTGTAGTTAATTGTATAGATAGTTTAGCATGTATCGGTTATATGTAGTTAGGTTAGGTTAGGCTAGGTAGATTGTATTTATATTTGGTTAGGTTACTATGTATAGGTTATATGTACTTAGTCGCCCCTATTTGGTTCACTAGAACCAATTCGAAGACTTGATGAAATTTGTTCAAATGCTTTTGTAGATGGATTATTTAGTCCATTTGTTTTTATGAAGTGTTAGAAAAGAAGATGTGGTGTTTGAGGATATGGAAGATGAACTGGAAATATCTGGTGTGCCTCCTAGCTTCTGTGACCTTTTCTTGCGTGTTAAGGAAAAGTTCGTTCGCTGGTGCTTTCACATTGAAGGGGAGGTTTGATAGTGGGAAGACTAGGGCACACTTCGTCTTAATGCCCTTACCCAATGAGGGTCATTGGTCGCTCTAAAAAATGGTAATCGAAGGGTCAAATGTGACCATGGTTGACGTGGTGGTGGAGAATGGATACAGGAAGGAGGATGGGCCATCCTTTGACGACGTTAGTGGCGATGAACATCAATGGGCGGTCGATGTGGACCGAACACCAGGGAATATGGTATTGGGCAGTAAGTTGACGCATGAGCAACTTCAGTCCTCTCCAATGGCAGTTGAAGAATGTAGGCGATTTTCAGTAGGCCATCTGAACGACGACTTCGATGTGGGTTCATACGAGTGGGACAAGTTGGAGAAAGAAGAGGAGGAAAGGACTGGTGATGAAGTTAGCATTGATTCAGAGAATTCGGACCATGATGAAGGAGCCAGTGCCAGTTGACCCAGGTAACCATTACCCAGGACCGGTTGAGGAGAGAATAGTCAGAGATGTGCCTGTTCGTGCTGAAGTAGAGGAGGCTATGCCTGTTTGTACTCACGTAGAGGATGCTACTCCATATGATTCATGGGTGAGGTTGAGCGAAGCACAACAGTACGTGCCACTAGATCATTACACAATGACTGAGATGATGCAATTGAGGTCGGTGAACGTACCTTTTCGTGGCGTTCCCAACTAAAGGGACATTAGCATGACAGATATGACAGTTTGTGACACTGGGCTGCAGATGTGTTGGAAATTAATCAATGTATGACCATCGCAAAGAGATCATTAGCAAGGGGATAGTATTTAATTCAAATGTCTGAGCTGAAGCTGTTTCTTCAAGACTATGCAGTGCATCACCATAGGCCATACACTGTCAGCCATTCTGATCAGAACTTGAGGTACTACATGGTAAGCAAGGCAAGCTATTTGTGGAGGGTATGAGCTCGTAAGAAATAGAGAGATGGCAAATGGAGGATAAGTAAAGTGGTTCAACCGCACACCTGTCTATCAAATGAGGGGAATGAAGGACATGCTCAGCTCTCGGCACCTTACCTTGCCCATCGCATATTGGGCCTCGTGGATGAGGATTGCAACGTTTCTGTGTCGATGTTGATTCGGTCCATAGTTGGATTCATAGGTTACACTTCCAAGTATGGAAGGCTTGGCGTGCTAAGCAGCATGCCCTGGATATTCGCTGGGGTAGTTTGAGGCTCTTCGTGCTGCATGCGAGCATCCCTTCTTTTCTTTTTTTGGCAGAAGCACAATTAATGTTAATGGGTAGTTTGTAATGTAAATTAAATTATGCTACAAATACTTTGTTGATCATGTGTGTATTAGTTAACTAGTTCACTACTATGTATATATGAAGTTAATTTGAATCAATTGCATTCGGCTCTAAAATTTGGTGGGAAAACCCGATTTCAAATATGGGAGGAAATTTCAAATTCCAAAAATTTGAAACTGATTTTCAGGGACGGTTTAGTGAACCGCACTTGTAAATATATTTTTAGGGATGGTTTGATTAAGCCAACAGCCCCCCTAAAAATGTGTTTTTAGAAGCGATTGCATTGCCATAGCCATCCTTGTAAAACCATTTTCAAGGACGGTTGCGGTGCAGCAACTGCCACTGAAAATATGTTTACAGGGGCGGTTCTCATACAACAACCGCCCCTAAAATAGATTATTAGGCGGTTCTCCTAATGCAATCGTCCCTAGAAATGCTTTTCCAGGGACGGTTAAATGCCCAACACTACAAATGCTCTATCTTTACAGACAATGGCATTGTAGCGATTTTTCAAACCGCCTCTAAAGATTGATTTTAACCGCCCCTAAAAAACTTTTCTGTGCTAGTGGGGGACTTAACATATCTCTATGTTTGTCTCTTGTCAGTTAGCACGAGCATATTACTAGTATATATATAAACTACACATGAAAGCTGCCATTTTAGACATGACTTAGTTAACCCTTACAGTATAAAACTACAAACATCAAGAGCTTTTAAAGTATTTAGTTTCAAGGATTTTCTAGAAACACCGAGAACTTTTAACCCTTATACAACAAGGTGTTCTAGGCAGGTGAATCTCCACACACAAACAAAACAAATGGAACTAACATGACAACCAAGAAAGAATAGAACACAAGAACCAGCCCAACTCAACTATTAAGCACATGCATTCAAATTTACACAAGAACCAACCCGACATATAAGGGTTTTTTTGTTGTGCAATTGTTTTTGGCGAGATAAACTCATATCATGTGCCTATATTCTTAGTAAAAAAAAGACTTTGCTATTTCGGCACACATTAATAGTTCATCAGAAAAAAAGTTTGACCACTTGTTGGTAGGAGAAGCCTCATCTCTACACCTCTATAATATGCACCAAAACTTTCTTTACTAAATCCACCCCGCTCAACCACCCCCACAGTCATGCCTAATCTAAGTCCATCCAAATTCGTGTACCAAAGTAATCTCTCCTCAAACCATCTTGTCTTACTCATTCAAGATGGGGAAATCTGTAGGATACTCGGGCATTCCTATTGCCCTCGCTATCTCAATTTTGCCCCGTCCGTCTCTTCATCTGATTCTACGCTGGCCATTTGATCTATACTCGTTGACTTTTTTATTTTCTGTCCAAGTTGTGGGACCCACTTTAATATAGTATAATACTCCCTCCGTTCCAAATTATAAGTTGCTTTGATTTTTTTTTGTTATCCATTATGCTTATGTATCTAGACATATTATTATATCTAGATACATAGCAATATGGATGTAAAAAAAAAGTCAAAGCGACTTATAATTTAAAACGGAGCGAGTGCTATTCAATTTTGGGAAGCACGCCCAATATTTTGGATCCCAAAGGCTGCAGCGCATTTCCTCCCCTGTTCTCTCGGCAGTCACTCATATGTAATTTAAAGTTCTAGTTTGTTGACTCTATTATTACAGTGTTTACTATAGGTAATTCTTTAAAAAAGTATATGTAATTATTTAGAAAAGTAGGTGTAACTGTTATTATTTATATATTTAATTCTTTTTACATATGCTATTTGATTTTGCTATGTAATTATATATGTAATTTGACAAAGAATTTTTCACGTCCGTCTCATCCTATCTGATTTTTCTTTGCAACACACCTGAGTAATCTTAGCCTTTGTCTAACTTTAGAAAAAAAATGCACATCTGTTTCATATGCTATTTGATTTTCCTTTGTTACACTCACTTGAATAACATCTGCCTTCGTCTAACTATAGAAAAAATTTGACATTCTGTTACATTTGATTTCTGAATTTGTTTTGTTAAACAAACCACAAAACCTTTTTCTTTTTCTGTTTTATTTGCTTGTATTTGATTTATTTGTTCACTAAATTCTGGTATTAGGTCCTCCTGTAATACCCTTTTTTTTTGCTACCGTTCATTCAGCCATTTTGTCGAGGCAAAATACCCAGGTGCTGACCAGCTTGCAATTGCCCGAGCTCCAAATACACACGTCCCCGTTCCAAAGGCCAAAATCATGCACGTCATTGAAGCCAGAACCCCACCCCGCTCCCACGCAGAATTTTT